TGTCGTAACACTCGCAACGTGGATCGCGGTCCCCTGCCACAAGCAATGTAAAGCTGCGGGGTATCTTCGTTCGCCAGGTTGGCAACCTGAAACAACCGGTCGCATCGAATTATCAATGTACGCGCGCGGACAACTGAGACGCGTGCGCGCGAACGCAAGGAAAGCGTTAATTTCTTACTTGTAAGTGCACCGATGAACGTTAAACAATGTAAATTACCTGACACGCCATTATCGGGGATAAACTGTCCATCTCGTCGACCAATACTAAATTCCTGAGTGGCCTCGGTGCAAAGAAGAACGTATCACCTTCTTCCAGTGGCATAGCGGAACTGAATTCTGGTTCATCGTCATCGTCTCCTAAATGCGGTATTTGATAGAGGTAAATATAAGAAAGACGAGTAGTTTAAGAACGAGTTTCAGAGAGATTCAACGCTAGAAGCGGCTTAAATGACTGACTTACTGATTACCGAACTCCGAAGCTACGAATAAGAATCCCGTTTTTAAAACGCACATGCTCGCCGCGACCGGCATCGAAGTACTCCAATTTAATTTCAGTAACCATATCCTCGTCAGTTTCCAGCGTGATCTTGAATATGTCTCCTTGCTCCGTTTGAGTCAAGAAGAAGAACATGCTCTTGGTCTTGTGAGTGGCCGAGCACACGAATATCATGCCTCTTTCCGGATCGTCGAGATCATTACGTCTTCTAGGGATCGGGCAACGAATATCGTGTTGATCCCCCAAATTTTTGTACGTCAAATAGTTCTCGGAACAAATTAGAACGCCGCTGGGACCGTCGTTTCCACCAGGTACCGACACAAGAAAATTTGCGTGTTCTTCCAGCGGCTCGCTGTATTTTCGTACGACGTGATTTAAACCGAGGTCGAGCTCATACAGAGTCAACGTTTGTTGCGTTTTTACTGCCGCGTCTCCCGTAGGATCGCTATCTGCCTCCTGATTAAATGAAGAAGCATTAGTAGTCGCCGAGGAAGGACGTAATTCTGAGAAACTAGCGGTCGTACCTCGTAATCGATTTCTAGACAGGCAAACATAGGATTGTCGAAACCTACATCTACTCCCACGGTATGGTAAACCAATGTGTTGCTCTTGTGCGCTTCCAACGGTGACGAGATCGTCAGACGAGCTTCGGGGTCTCTGTTTAAAATATAAACAAGTTTCTGTTTCTCAATTGCTCCTGAAACAGAAATGATTTTTAATCAGTACTAGCAAGTTGAGCAGCTACCGAGTATCTTTCTAAAGAGCGTGGACCATCATTGAAAGTGTAATTTATAATCAATGTTATTCAGTTGAAACACGGACTACACAAATAATCATTTGGCAAGAAGTTCTCTAACATTTCCATGAATCACGTTCAATACGATATGCATACCTATCATTACTGCTCTTCCTTTGGGATCTATGGCCAAGTATTGTCCAGGTACGATTCGTCTGCAACCACTTTTCCCGAAAGTTTCTTGATGCACTTTCTCAAAAACATTTTTGGCAGGAATATATTCTAAAATTACAATCCGTCCCGAGTCTGATCCAACGACGATGTAATCTTTCGTGCCACCGGTCAGCCTGAAGGCCATGAGCGACCGTATGATTCCAAATACTTCGACGGTCAATAAAGTATGAACTTTTCCAGTATTTGGATCTGGTCTTAATAATTCTAAAGATTTGCCGCGGGAAACCAAAATCTCTTGCATTTTACTGCCAGAGAAGTTCCCATGTACCGCATGGGTAATACCTGTGGCACGTTGGAGGGTCAAATTGTACAAATACATTTTGATAAGCTTTTTTTTTATTCAATTGCTAAAGAAAAAACCGAGTATCTTTCATCGATGTTGTTTATTCGTATCCATTCTGCAACAAATACGATGAATCCAATTAAGTAAGAGTTTTTAGAAGGATGAAAGTAAGTAAAAATACAGAAATAGTAAAGTACATGATACACGAGGGAGAAAATAAGGAAGCCGAATGCGTCCATTTCGAGAAACTACAAAATTCTAACGGTAACTTAGATTGAATAAAATAATCAGGAAAGCTCTGAGCCCTTGTTTATTTTAATAAATTAATTGAAGAACTTTGATAAAATAATAGCGGACACGTGCGGACCCAAAAAAAGCGGAAACGAAGACAAGATTTCTAACCGATGAATTCGTTATATAAGAATATCCCTTTTGCACAAAACTAGAGACAAAACGAATAAGATATGATAGTTGTCATAAGTAAAAGAGTATAATAAGTTTTGTTTCACCTTGCAAATGAAAATATTTTTCAATTCGAGTTGCGATGCTAACGGATAATCAAATGCTTCACACACCAACTCCACCAGCGACCATTTGCATTTGCAGTGAACATTTCCCTCGTTTCAGTTCCGCGAGTTCGTTTTATAAAACTATGCGATACATAGTTTGGAAACAGCTGTTTCTCTGTATACTTCCGATAGTAATATATTCTAGAGGGCGCCAAAAATTACAAAGGCGCCAAATTACATTTGCTATGTCGATAGGAATTGGTTTTCTCTTATACATTGTGCAATTGAATAATTTTAACATGTCCATTGTTACACGATAATCCATACATGTTTTTTTATTGTTTTTTAAGTATAATTTTGTTCTCGTTATTGCCGCGATAGTTTCTGGCTTCAAACGATTTCTACTATCCACGTTGCCAACTTGACGAAATGTATAGCCAAAATAAGCCTACAAATCTTGAAAATCACTGCATACCCCCACCAACTATTGGTCCCCACCATGGTCGCGTCGTCCCCACTTTTCGGCCGAGGGAAAAAATATGAGCACGCTGGTAGCGACAGCGACTAGCGACGATGTTTATGCGCTTACTAGTTGACTGATAAACGTTTCCCGTTAAATCATAATGAATCAAAAGGAAGCGAAGAGCTGTTATCTAATAAGCGTTGATAAGACACTACAGTCAGTGTATTTGCCCCATAAAAAATCGATCACCTTGGGTCGTTGCCCTGAGACTGGGATTACGAACACGCAATGTTCCAAAGAACAAGGTTACCGATTTATGCCATTTTCGTACACGTTTCATACCAATAGTTCGAATTCATACTCTACTCTTCCTTTCAGTGTTATTGTATGCAGATTATCAGAAATATACGGTTACGGTTCTACAGTTGGGAAAACAGTCGTGTGGCTTCAATGGTTTTAAAACAGTTAAAGAAAATAAATATGTAGGCAAACATGATTACCGTTTGGAGATGTTGTATGGAAAGTATGCTTATCACATTGAATTTAACCCACCACCTCCGAAAACTATCGTAGAGAAAAGGATGAGGGAGTCGGATGAAAGTGAAGTAAAAGTTCAGAGTAAAATGGCAAAATTTGATGCCAACGATGCAGGGACCAGCCATAAAGAAGCAGAAACCACGAGAAACTCGCAGGGTATCCTAAAATATATGCTCAGCAAAGAAACTTGTAAAGACATAGACGTGAAGGAAAAAAGCACATGGGAAAGCATAGAAAGTGGATCGTTGTTAATATATACAACCAAAGACGTAGAAGCCCGTTCGAAAATAGCAGCATACGACCTGGATAGTACTCTAATAAAACCGAAAAGTGGATTAGTTTTTCCGAAGAATCCTGACGACTGGCAATTAATATATCCTACTGTGCCAGGCAAATTGAAACAGCTTCATAGTGATGGTTATAAAATAGTGATTTTCACCAACCAAGCGTCCATCGGTTCCGGTAGACTGAATGCCAAACATTTCTTGTATAAGATTAAAAATATAACGCAACGAATTGGCGTACCAATGCAAATTTTTGTGGCCACGACGTATAACAAGTACAGAAAACCAATGATCGGGATGTGGCAGAGGTTGGAGCAAAAGAACGATTCTGTGCCCATCGATAAAGATAATTCGTTCTACATCGGGGACTCAGCTGGCCGAGCAGCGAATTGGGCTCCTGGGAAAAAGAAGGATCATTCGTCGGCTGACCGATTACTTGCGCTTAATTTAAGCTTGAAATTTCAGACTCCAGAAGAGCATTTCCTAGGACACAAACCGGCTCCTTTTATTTTGCCCGTATTTAATCCGCGACAGTTATCAAATACGGACGTATGCCCAGGAACCAGTATAAATTCAAGTAGTCAAGAGGTGACTAAAATCATTTTTGTAAATGGCATTAAAAGATCAATAACAATCTTTGTGTTTTTAGATCGTCTTAATGGTTGGATGCCCAGGTTCGGGTAAGTCATATTTTGTGAAGAATTACTTAAAAGATTATGGATACGTTAACAGAGACACACTTGGAAGTTGGCAAAAGTGCATTGCTGCGATGGAAAACCATATAACGCAAAAGATCAGCGTAGTTATCGATAATACAAATCCTGATCGTTCGTCGAGGAAGAGATACATTGAAATTGGAACGAAATACAACGTACCCATAAGATGTTTTGTTATGTCGACGACTATCGAGCATGCAAAACATAACAACAAGGTAGACGTACTTAATTTAATGTAAAACAATATAACGAAGTTTTGAATATGAACTTTTCTCATCCACAGTTTCGGGAATTAACTGATCCTACTCATGCTAAAGTTACAGACGTGATAATCGATACCTATATGTAAGTAAAAAATGCATTACTTCACATTTCTATAATGAAAATCCATCACTGATGAATAATTTTAAATGACATTTTTTACTGACTCATTGACTTGACCTTTATTATTTATAGGAAAAGCTATGAACAACCGTGCTTAACAGAAGGTTTCACGGAAATAGTCAATGTGAACTTTGTTCCACAATTTCAGAAGGAAGAACATCGACAAATATACGAAATGTATTTGCTCGAGAAATAATAAACATTCCTTGAGCTTAGTTTAATACATATTAAATTTGAATAGATGTACATAGCACATATACCTGTATTTTCATAAAAGAGATCTGGACATTAATCTTTTATATTTATTTATTTAAATGTAATTTAGATTTTCAATAAACTAACGCTGATGTAATCACTGTCTTCATTTCTACACATCCCTATCATTTTAAAACGGTAATCCGACGGGCATATTAAAAGTGGCGGCTCAAACTTGCCGCAGAGATGAAGATGGATGAAGAGAGAGAAGTAATGAGCAATCTCCCTCTTCATCAGGGATCTCAGAATTTATCCCGCATATATCCCCATCCCCATTAAGTACCAATCCCCACCATGGTCGCGTCGTCCCCACTTTCCGGCCGAGGGATAAATTCTGAGATCTCTGCTCTTGATCCATCTTGATCTCTCTCATCTCTGTTTGCCGACAGAACACTCATCCACGTGTTTATAACCTCTTTTCAGGTTGAGAAATAACAAGAAATAACCTCTAAAGTACATGTATGAACGAAATTTGCACGTGCACCAAAATATTCGAACATTTAGAAAAAGTTCATCAATCATAAAAAATGTCGCGACTGATAGTAAAAAATTTACCTAAGAGCGTAAGTAATAATACGTACGAAATCAGAATGGGTAACGAACACAAGTTTGCAATGAAACCTTGTAGGTTACAGATACGAAGTTGAGAGAACTCTTCAGTCAAAAAGGTTTAGTGACTGACGTACAATTAAAATATACGAAAGATGGCAAATTTAGGCGATTTGCGTTCATCGGGTTTAAAACGGAAGAACAAGCTGCGGCGGCTAAAGAATATTTTGATAAAACGTGTATCGATACTTGCAGAATAAATATCGAACACTGTGCTAGTCTAGGTACCGTCAATATTTAATAAATTATGCTTAATGAGTAAAAGTAACATGTATTTAATTTCACAGGTGATTCTTCTAAGCCCAGGTCGTGGAGTAAATATGCGCCTGACAGCTCAAAAAATGTTGCTACTAGCAAAGCCTCTACTGATACAACGCAGAGTAAAACACAGGATGAGAAGGAGGAAAAGAAGGAAAAGAAAGAAAAGAAGAAAAAAGAAAAGAGAGAGAAGGAATCAAAGCAAGAGCTTGAGGAAGCACTGAAAAAATATAAAGATGACCCATTGTTTGCAGAGTTTCTCGAAAGTCATGCAGGGAATAAAACTATATGGAATAACGATACAGCATTAACAGATAATCTTGATAAAGATCATAACGACAGCGAGAACAGCGAGAACAATGAGGACAGTGAAACTGAAGACAAGAACGATGAAGAGGAAGAAGAAAAGAAAGAAGAAAAAATTGCAGACAAAGTTATATCTGATTTAGAATATATGGAGACGTTAAAAGAGGGGAAAAAAACAGACAAAACTATCCCTAACGAGAAAAGTGCATCGAAACATGGTCCTTTGAAATTTTTCACCGTAAAAATTCGCGGCTTAGCATACAATCATAAGAAGAAGGACATTAAACAATTCTTTCGTCCACTGAAAGCCAAATCGATACGAGTCCCACCAAAGATCAAGGGAATCGCCTACGTTGGTTTTAAAACGGAGCAACACTTGAGGAAAGCGTTGCTGAAAAACAAAAGTTTCTTAGGTATAATAATTTATAGTTGATTCTTGATTAATATTTTAAACGTGAATTCTTTTTTAGACGGAAAACAGATATTCGTAATGAAGTACGAAGGGAAAGAGCAAGGGGTTACCGAAGAACAAAACGGAGAGGATGGTAACGTTAAATGGAAGAAACAAGCCGAAGCATTGAAAAACGAAGAGAGTATAGCGGAATCTGGGAGAATGTTTATCCGAAATCTCTCGTACACAACAACGGAGGATGACGTTCGGCAACTATTTGAGAAATATGGTAGCTGTCATTTTTCCGTACAATTATTATACGAAGCCAACACAAATGTTTCTTTCAGGTCTTTTAAGCGAAGTAAATTTACCTATCGATCCGACCACTAGGAAACCAAAGGGATTTGGTACGATAACATTTTTAATGTCGGAACACGCGGTGAAAGCTTACAGCGAACTAGACGGTTCTATTTTCAATGGAAGGATGCTACATCTGCTTCCAGCTAAAACGAAACCCGATCCTATGGAGGAACACGATGAGAGTAAGAATAAATTATCTCATTTTCACACGAATCACCTTCATTTTACATAATATTTGTAATTATAGAAGGATTGAGTTATAAGCAGAAGAAGGAGCTGAAAGCTAAAGCGACCGCCGGTTCTTCCCACAACTGGAACACTCTTTTCCTCGGACAGAACGCAGTGGCGGATGCCATAGCTGCTGCTTATAACACGACGAAAGAACAAGTGCTCGAAGATGGATCGAAAGGCTTGAGTGCCGCAGTAAAATTGGCCTTGGGAGAAACCCAGTTGGTTCAAGACGCGAAGAATTTCTTGGAGGAGAATGGAGTGTCATTGGATGCATTCAATCAAGTAAATATTCAAAGCCAATATATGATTAGACTGCGGATTTTTATACGACATAAAACATTCATAAAAAAATTGGTACGTATTTCCAGCTAGCGAAGACGAGGTCAAAAACAGTGATACTCGTAAAAAATTTGCCTATTGAGACACCGGTGCAAGAAATTCGTGAAATGTTTGCGCGACATGGCGAATTGGGCAGGGTGGTAATGCCACCTTCAGGCATCACCGCTTTGGTGGAATTTTTGGAGCCTTCCGAGGCACGAAAGGCATTCGTAAAATTAGCATATACGAAATACAAACATCTGCCTCTTTATCTGGAATGGGCTCCAGAAAATAGTTTCACCACTCCACCAACGGTGAGGACGAAGGACGAAGCGACTGACAAAAGGAATACTAAAGATACTGACGAACAGCCCAAGGAATCTCCGGACAATATAAACGACGCAAACAAGACTAACAAAGAAAAGACCGAGGATGAAGACGAACCTGAACCGGATACCACTCTTTTTGTCAAAAATATTAATTTCGCGACTACGGACGAGCAACTAAAGGAGGTAAACAATTTAACGAGCGACGCGTTTTTCTTATTTACTTATCAATTGATTTTACAGTACTTTGGTAAATGTGGCCCCCTTCATTACGCTACGATAGCAACGAAAAAGGATCCAAAAAATCCTGGTGGCAAGCTTTCTATGGGTTACGGGTTTGTGAGATACAAATGGAAAGCCGACGCGGACCGTGCATTAAAGACGTTGCAAATGACCGTGCTGAACGGAAAGACTCTGGAATTAAAACGTTCAGAACGAACACTGACGTACGTTTCACTTAATTATTTTAATACTTGTTCATAAGTTTAATTTTTGTTCGTTCAATGCAGGACTGACGTAAAGAGCGCAAAGAAAACGTCGAAAGTAACGGGTCAAACAGGCACGAAGATTCTTATAAGGAATGTACCGTTCCAGGCCACGGCCGCGGAGATAACTGAGTTGTTTAAGTAAGTAGATTTAAAATATTCTCGCAAGTACAAATTTGTATGTCGCTTATTATCGAAGGGCATTCGGGGAGATCAAAGCAGTGCGACTACCGAAAAAGATGGTCGGCGTTGAAAAACATCGTGGATTCGCCTTCGTGGAGTATTACACAAAGACCGAAGCAAAGGTATTTGATAAAATTTTAATCGCCATATTATCATTTAATCGTTCGTTGTTTCGTTTACAGAAAGCATTTAAAGCCCTCTGTCAAAGTACTCACTTGTACGGTCGAAGGCTGGTCTTGGAATGGGCTCAAGCCGAAGAGGGTGTGGAAGATATCAGAAAGCGAACCGCGAAACACTTTTACCAAGGTACGTACTGTGTGCGAATAATGATTTATAGATTACGAATATTTAAAAAATGTGCTTTAGATAAACAATAATTGAATATATAATAGATTTGCAATTTATGAACATTTACGGAATCGTTCTTTTTTCTATTACAGAAGAAACAGCCAAGAAGAGCAAGAAGGCTACATTGAACCCTGAAGACGTTGGCTTAGAGGAAGTGTTATAAGATTTTGTACATGACATTCATACTTTTGTACATAACATTCATACTTTGTACATTAACATTCATACTTTGTACATAACATTTATACTTTGTACATAGCATTCATACTTTGTACATAACAACATACACAAAATAAATTCATTGGTCACGTAGAGATTCCTTTCGATAGTTGGCAGCGGTGCAAGTTGATCGTGATATTGACCTTCGTATCACGCAGAAACTTTTTCTCGTCTCGCTTTCCACGAAAACACTTAGGATTTCTACAGGCAACGCGACCAGTGCGGCATGCGTATTAATACCCCGTATTTGGGTTTTGATACCATCAAGTCGATTTCGCATTAACATTGAGCTTCTCCACACGTTCTGATTTGATTGCAGCTTCGGAATTCAGTCATCGCCCCTCTTTTCGAATGCGGGAATGCGTTTTTAATATCTCGAAGTCCTTCGCGTTCAGATTTACGATTATCGGAGGCTAGCAAAAAATATAACAAATTTATGGATGGTCCTCACAGAGAATATACTAATAAAGACCAAAGTGTGCCGTAGAATTTGCATGAATTTGCATTCTTGACGTCTGAGAAAAGCATAGTTGAAAAATAGCAGCCGGGGATGTTAACGACTGGGAGATCGTTTCGAGGCAGGGTGGAAGGGAAGAAATGTTTTCCTTTCACTCCTCCGTTCGAAGGAGGAGTGGTTCGCCGAGAAGTTCTGGAGGTGGAGACGACCCATGAAAGTAACAGTGGCTTCTCCACCTTCGACTCGATGGATCGCTCAGTCTCGCTCTCCTTGCCCAGGTGAACGGTGCTAGTGACATACTCTCTCTTTCCCTCGGCGTGTCCTTCGGTATCTTCGCCCATAGGTACAAGGTCGCGAGTGCACCGGAAACGTGCACAGTGAATCAGGAGAAGTCGCGTCGTGTGTCTATGCAAGCATAGTGTGCGCGATGTGCTCGACCTGACGGGCTCTCAGCAAGAACAATCAACAACGGGCGCGATCGTGGAACAGCGAAAATGGATTGGGTAAGACCTACCTCGAATCCTCTTTTTAAGAAAACTAACATTCGAACGAATGTCAACTTGTTGCGAGGGAACTTTCTCGTTTCTAAACTGCGTCATACGAGTAATATTAAAAATGCGTGTCTATCACTTATAAATGATTAATATGAAATTTCTAATACTTTTTTAATTACCGTCCAGATTTTTGCTCTTGTCTCGCTTTGCTTTTACAAGTTACTGAGATGTTCGTTCGGACGTGATAAATGAAAAGCATCAGCGAGGACTAGGAAGTAAGGATGCCGAGCGGATCTCGCGAAATTCTTTTCTATCGTTGACAAATGCCACTTTCTAAATTTTATCCATCGGCACAGAAATAAACCGAGAAAAAGCAACGAGGAATTAGGAAGCGATTTAACGTCTATTCAACTAGAAAGGAATTCCCTTTAAGAATCCGAGGTATTTGGGAAACGAAACTTTTCGACGGGTTCGAAAGCCGTGTCTCAGTTAACCGGATTATTGGGCGAGATCTGCATGCATATCGAGCACGTATGGGAACGATCGTCGGCTTCCTGCCGGTGGGAGGAGGGAGAGGAAATCTACCGGTTATTCGAGCCGAGCACGCTCCGCTTTAAGTCGCTGCGACAAGCAAAGAAGGAGCGAACGCATGTAGCAATTCGAGATTGCAAAACCATCGAGGCCGTAACAAATCTCTTTTCCCGTTTTCCATCGATCTTGGACCATCCCGTTGGTCTCGGGTCAGTCGATCAAACCGTCGTCGAATGTGGCTATTCGAAAAGCATCGACGCTCTTGGACGTCCTTTCGCGCGCACGATTCATACGCCCGAGGGTGATTTTCGAAAATACACGACTGAACCTGAGCTAGAGTCGATCGGAAATAATTGTTGTGTAACCCAAGACTGTCGCAATCCCGATTGAAATTCACAGCAGCCTTTCCTGTTTAATTACTCTTAACGCTTTCACGTCCTAGAAAAATCATACGAAAGGCTAGACAGTAAAAATTCGATAAGTAAATACAGGTAGGCGGCACATTAGTGTACCTACGCGTCGAACATCTTCGCAGTGAAAACAAAATCCCTCCCGGTCTTAAATAAGACAGAAAAGGAACGCATATTCGAAGATCATCCGCTGACCTTTATAACTGGTCGAGCGACCTTTCTGTTCCTTTTAATCGGTGATCATGATTTTCTTCCTTCTGCTAGAAATTGGGAGTGGAACGAGAATTCCAGAATACGCGTTTCGTATAATCCGCGATTTTACAATCTCATATATTTTTTTATGGTTTCAATAATCGATAATTCCAAACAAATCGTTTGTTCGATGTTTTACGATCGACTTTTTACGGTCGTAAAGGAAGAACAGAACGGCGAAGAGCCGTGGTACAGGAAATCGCTTAACGAAAGAGAAAACGAGTGGAAAAACTAAAAGTACGATGCGACGGGTTTGTCAATCGCAGATCACCGAGATTCTCTCGAGCAATTACAGGGACGACAAAGGGGATCTAATTAGAAGCGTAATCGTACTATTAGCTTCCTAGTAAACAGACCGAGAGTCCGGTGCCTCGGAGCGAATTCCATGGAAAGTAAAAGTGACCAAGCCGAGATAGATCTATTCGCCGCGGCTCGACCTCGCTTCGCGATGCGAGGCGATTTATTTCTAGGGACGTTAACCCTTCCTTTCCCAAACTACCTGTTAAAGTTCCAGGAAAGAAACGCGTAACTACCCGATTGCCTGATAATCGTTCGATCGTAATCCAGATTCATTACCATCTCGTTTAGTATTTGGAAATACATAGCTATGATGGGAAGTAGAGCTCGGATTTCGAAAATTCTCAGAATCAACATGCAATTCCCATTACCCTCGATTTCGTCCTCTAATTAGCATTTCAAATCAACGGAAAAGTAAGTTACCAACGAACGATGTGCCTTGATCCTGATTATCGGTTAATTACGAATCTGCAATCGAACGACAATTTCGTAAAGAAGAAACTAACAGCCCTTGTCTTACAATTAGTGAGGCATGAATCCTCTTGTTCACCTTTGTAACTGGTTTGCAGCTTTACTGGTACCAGATTCTGGACGTCCAAGGTTACGTTTAAATTATATCTGTCCCTGCGTGCCTGCCTGGCATATAGAAAATGTCTTTGTTTCCACGACGTCAGTTCGTGCCCACTTTCTTTGCGTCGACCTTTTATTTTCCTCCAAGGTCCAACGAGCTCGTTGTGATAAAACTGAAGATGTACATATGCTTAACGATATTTGCCGACCAGGCGAAGAATCTTAATAGTGTTCCTTTTACTCGGTGTACTTTAAACGATTTAGCGCCTTTCCCTAACGCGAATAGGTCTTGACGCATCGAGTCATCGTACGGATAACGGTAGTGTGTATAAAGCGAGGGGTGAAGTCATTGGAATCGTCAAGTAAAATGTCACAGGAACTCGTCACGTGTTCACTCGTGGATAGAATCCGAACGAGCAGATCGATTATACATATTCATATTCTTATCAAACATTATACATCATACGTTCAATTATTATTATTATTATTATACGTACTCAATTATGGAAAACGATTTGGATACTGTTCAATATTAGCGATGACCAACAGTTTCTCCTAGCTGCAATTTTAAAACGCGTCATAATTCGTATAACTCGTCGAGTTGCTTTCACGACAAGAAACAATCTTTCTTTTCGCACGGAAACGAAATGAGACTGGTTTCTGGTAAAAATCGAGCAATCTACGACTATTAACACTAGAAAGACTGAAACTTAGTATATACCTATATTGCCCAAAGCAGTCAAAATGACTGCAATTGTGAAAGAATAATGTGTAA